CCACAAAGACTGAAATGAAACGATAGGAAGAAAAAACTTCAAAACACAGCCAAACAGCACGAAAAACTAGCAACAACCATAATAAGGTATTCCTTGACTATTTGTTTATCAATCTCAAGCTGCAATTCTGTCTCCTCCACTTGTACTTCACATTTGCCTGGAGCATCATAGATTGTCTTTTTGGAGAAGATGGAGCTGAAGTAGGAATTGACCTGCCTTTTCTTTGTCATCACTTTTCCATCTCCATTGAGTAACTGAGCTTCTCTGTCTTTTGCTATGCACATACCTGAAGGATGCTTTTGTTGCTTTTCGTATATCTTGCTAACCTCAGCTCATTCTCAGCTTTTGCCTTCCTATTTGTTGGTACTCTTCCTTTGTGCTTTGGATGCCTTCCACTTCCTATGTGTCCTTTTTTATTTTCTGGTTCTCTTTGACCTTTTCGTAAAACCACATTGGTCTTTTACTATCTTCCACCTATTACAAATGCCAGACATCTTTAATATATTTGTAGAATGGTGCGAGTATGCATTAGAGTTTCTGTACACATAGAACTGATATCTGTGTATCACACTGAGGATAAATTGTTTTAAAAATGAAGTTAATCTACATACTATGGCCAAGTTTTCTGTTTTGTTTTCTGATTTCTTTATTATTTTGTTTAGGTAGGCTTTTGACTTGCATGTTGGTCAGTTGCTATTTTTTTCTGGCTTTTGTGGGTTTATTGATATTTTACCTACCATAAAATTGTTATTTTACATATGTATGTTAATCTGATTTTAACATTCTATATCTGTTAACCTCCCTGAATTGTTTGTGCTACAATTCTGTGCTTATTTATGTGGGAGTAAACTGTACTGAACTTAGTGGATCTTACTTTTGAGTAGACATGCATAAAATTGGTTTGTCATTTTTGAATTAGAAGGCCAGGTTATAAATATTCCTAATAAAATGAATACATACTGTATATTTCAATCTGGTCAGCTCTGTACTACTTCACTGAGTCATTTGTACATACCTAATACTCCACAAGATTATTACATGAGTAGGGATGTCTTATAGTTCTTATTTATGTATTTTTTCTGAGAGAAAGGGAGAAGGATATTGTCTATGAGTGTTCATATGTTTTTTGCATCCAGTAGTTATACAGTTTGTGTCTTTCATGTGTAGCGCAATAAGGATTTCTTACAGACATCCTCAACATAGTGCCCTCCTTATCTATTTGACTACAACTCCAAACACACAGAGACAGTATCTCTGAAAGGGAACAAGGGGAGCTGTAGTCCAACATCCAGAGGGCTCCAAGATGGAAAAGGCTGGATGCCACCAGAACCCTGATTGAGTATTGTCTTTATTATGTGGCTCCCTAAGGGATGTTTCTTTGTCATAGCTGGGCTGAACAGTGACATCGTGTGCAGTAAGATGGGTAGATTTCGGAAGGGGGAGATTGATAATATATATATATATTTTCAGCTGTTTTATTCATGCACTTTTTGTGTTGAGTGACTGCCTCTTTAAAGAGTGTGTATGCGCGCGCATGCAAGGGAGGCCAAGGCACACTGCAAAGTGCTGGGGAAGCTTAGCTTTGCTGTGCAGCTTGAGCCTGAGTGAAACCTAACTAGCTAGGCGATATGCAATTCCTGATTGACAGCAGGACTAGCATTATGCAAATGCTGCCAGAGAGAACTGCTGCCGAGGGAACAGTGATCGGGGGCTCTGTTAGGGATCTCTTTACGCACATACGCTGGCTCTTAAATCTCCCTGGCTGTTGTTGTTGCTGTTGTGTGCTTTTTTTTCCTGCCTCCTTTTGCTGTGATGGTTCAGCTGGAAAAAAAAATAAACGAGCAAACAAACAAAAAAGTTGTTGCTTTCTTAGACACGAATAAATCCGATCTTTCTGTGCGGTTTCATTTTCTGTCAGCCGAGGAGATGTGGCGTGAGCTTGTTAACTCAGAATGAATTGGGTAATATTTAGCAGGGTAATGCGCTAATCTTTAAACCTTTATGTTTCCAATCCCCGTGTATGTATGGGTCTCTTGACACAAAAGTGTATGTGTGTGTGTGTGTTTTGCTTGCTTCTTCTCGGCTCCTTCAGTCTGAAGCCTTATGTAGGTCAGGCTTGGCTTAAGCAGATTTCCTGAACCTGCGTCAGCTTAAGCTGAAGGAATTTTAATAAACCCTCCCTTGTAGGCGTGGGCCTAAATGAGACAAGCCTAGTTAAGCCTGATCTTTTTCTGTTTGTGAAAAAGAGCTGAGCAGAGAGCTAGGATCTGCGTGGTGGTGTTCAGGAACTGCTCTGCTCTTCAGGCTGGAGAGAACGATGGTGGGCAAGGCCAGGTCCTCGAATTTCACCTTGTCTGAAAAGCTTGATTTGCTGAAACTTGTCAAGCCATATGTTAAAATTCTCGAGGAGCACACCAACAAACACTCAGTCATAGTGGAAAAAAACAAATGCTGGGATATCATTGCTGACAACTACAACGCCATTGGAGTTGACCGCCCACCGCGCACGGCGCAAGGCCTGCGCACCTTGTACAAGAGGCTCAAGGAATATGCTAAGCAAGAGCTGCTGCAGCAAAAGGAGAGTCTTTCTGATTACAAAAGCTACATCTCTGAGCCAACTAAGAAAGTTGTGGAGATGATCCCCCAGATTTCCAGCGTGTGCTTGAGAGAGAGAAATAATCTACCATGGTAAGTTGCATTTTACCTTGAACTTAATTAAACCATCTCCTCCTGGCTTCCCTGGCCAGCCCATGTTTAAGCTAAGTGCCTTAGCCTTAGGAGAAGTAAAAAAACAATAAACCCCCCCAAAAAAACCACTGTGGTTCAGGTTGGGTTTTTATTTTAGGGTTAAAAAAATGACTTCCTAATGCTCAACTTTCAGCTGTATTTCAGAGATCTTTCTTGTTAGACCTTTGGCAAGTGAGGGTTAAGAAAGAAGGGGAGTGAAATAGGAGCTCCAACTTTTACCCCTCCCCTTTTAATAGGCATAGCATTCAAACACTGACCAAGGGAACTGCTGTTCTACATTTAAGGTAGTACTGCAGTCATCTGCCTACATACGGAAGCTAAAGCCTGTTCAGGGATAAAAATCTACATAAAGTCGAGGAGGAGAACAAAGAACTCTCTCTCCTACCCTGTGCCCCCATCAAGGATTATGTTAATCTTCCCTGAGTGGAACACATTTTAACTGAATTCAGACCTTTTAGGTGATTTCCCCCCCTTATGTTACTATGCCTTTTAACAATGCAATTGGGTTTTTTAAAATAATCATTTGCCTTCTCTGAGGCCAGGATGCAGTGCAGGCTTTAATTTAAATGGTAAATAAGAGCTTGTGATTTATGTGTTTATGGATTGCAGAGTCGTTGTTTATTTCACGACAGCCTTTTTGTGTTTAATCAAATCAGAGATTTGAGCCAGGCATAAAAATGGGCAGGTTGTTTTCAACCTCCTTTGGTAAAGCTCCATCTTCTCCCTCTCTGCAAATGAATTGCAGCACAGGGCTGCTCAAAAGATCCCCAAATTTGTCCTAGGCCTGGATATTGTAGACAGTTTTTTAAAATAGTATGGAAAACCAAACAGCTCTTCTTGTTTCTGCTATAAACTATATACATTTGCATCACTTACTGAAAAACAGGTATGATGATCTGAGTTGCTAGTTCTTGATTTATGTTGCTTCTGGTCACATTAAATGGGAACAATGGTCTAAATCCCACTATGTCAGAATTTCTGACAGTAACAGCATATTGCCTTTGGTGTTGGAACTGTGCATAAACTATGTGGAAATAGCCTATTATAATTTATAATTATTACATATAATACCAGTGCTATATGTCTACTGAGAAGTAAGCCCCACTGATTTCAGACAGACACATTTACAGTGAAACGTTCAACATATACTAAGACTGTGGTATGAACTAACTTTGATTAGCCTCTTGCCTTAGCCATTGAGCCACAACAGCAGAATTTTGTCTTTGAAGAATAAGGGAGAGATGAGCAGATTTGTATTGGGATACTGTAATGGCCCTTTTATGGACTAATGTACTTCATGTAGTTTAGTAAGCCAACCTGGTTTACCACGAAGTACTGCATATCAATATTCATTTTTAAAAGAAACATGATGGATAACTGCTCACCTTCAAAATTATATTGAAATCTAAGAGTATGGCTCTAATTAATGTTATTAAGTCAAATGCCCCCCCCCCAAATTTTATTTCCTCTGTACACTAGGATATTGGAGAATAATCCCCAGATATTATTTTGGAGAACATTTAATTATTATGAGTGAAACTGATTCTCTTCTCTACTGTTTGTTTAGGATCTGAATGAATCATATTTCTAAAACCTTTTTATAGATATGAGCCTCAATTCAACAGCTAGTTCTAACCAAAATAGACCTATTGAATCTATTGCTAAATAATAACACAACTCTTGTGTAATTCTGATTTAGTGGGTCTTTCCTAATCAAGACTAGCAATTGGATCGGATCATTGTACAGTAGTCCACTTTTTGAAGATGGAACCAGTGGTCCACACTGGCCATGCAGAAACACATATGGTTCTGTTGATCATAGTGAGACCAAAATATCTGCATATTTCAGCTCCAGACTTCTACTACCAGTATCTAAGCCATCAGAGAGATGTCAACCTTTTTGAATTGAAAAACACTCCTTTACAAAACCTGGGAATGTACCACATGATACCAAAATGAGAATGAGCCATTGCCATCTGGGGAAACCCAGAAGGACTGGATTTAATTGCAGGGCCTAAAATTCCCGACCACTGCTTTATTTCTTCCATTCTTAGTCCCTTCCCCTGTATCATTAAGTGTTTTTTAGACCCTGCGGCATCATTCCTCTGCACCAGTCACCATGCTTTTTTTAATCAAAAATCTACACGATACAGTAATGGCAATTTAATACAATTTTGACTGATGTGGTTCCATCCTGTAGAATCCTGGGACTGGTAGTTTAATGAGGAATTTAAAGACTCCTGTTATATTGAACTCAGTGTGATTCACTTCCAGGAGAAACTATTAGGAATTGTGGTTTTATAATTGTTTTGCTCTCTATTAAGTAGTAGAAAGTTCTGGGCAGTCTTTCAGAGGCAAATGCCTTGCAGGTTTGAGGAAATCCGTGAACCTGAGATGTCTTAAAATTTGGCAAAAGAAATAATGATGGGAAGGAGCCTCATGGCGCAGTGGTTAAACTGCTGTACTGCAGCCAAAGTTGTGCTCATGACCTGGGGTTCACTCAGCCTTCTTTCCTTCCCAGGTCGATAAAATGAATACCCAGCTTGCTGGGGGGGGGATGTGTAGCCTGCATAATTAACTTGTAACCTGCCCAGAGAGTTCTTGAAGCACTATGGGGCGGTATATAAGCAGCACACTTTGCTTTGCTAAGATTTTTTTATGCAAACATAGAATTGATGCTTTTCTTTTTCTACACCATTCTCTGCTGTTATCATACCTTGCAACATTTTCATTTATGGGATTCAGTATGGATGTTTACAGATGCTTTTAACACCACAGTCAAAGCAAGCCTCAGTATAGGAATCTGGACCCACTAAATCTCAGGTGGACTTTCCTTGCTGCTTCTCTTAGAATCTTCCTCCCCACACTATTTTTCTTTTCAAAACAGATTCCAGGAGTCTGTTTACATGTGAAACATGTTAACTCCTGAAAAGCAGTGGGTATCAAGCAGTACTGGTTCCAGGAGTGAGTAAATTATTAAGATTTGTGTAAAGAAGGTAGGTCCTTGAATTCAATACTTGGAAGTTCCAGTCCTACCAAAGCAGACCTATCTTTAGACTTGCATAGTAGGTATCTTCCTAGCTATTCCCATTTGTCTCCAAGACAAGGGACTGATTTCCCCCTTCTGTACTTTCTCTGAAAAGGAAAGGCTCTTTCATTCCTCTCAAAGTGAAATAAGACACATTTAAAAGCAACTCTCTCTGTGCTTCTGAGTGCAGTGCCAGGTAAGAGACTGACCCTCTTTCAAATATTTTGTGAGTGTAGGGATAGCAACAAAAATGGCTGACAACTATTGTTAATTTATGCAGAATAGTTCACAGAAGGGTAGAATTATAGAATTGTACAGCTTAGAAGAGATAATCTAATCATTTCCATTGTCAGTGCAGGATATCATAGCTGAAATATCCATGGCAGATGGCCACCCAATCTCAGTTAAAAAATCTCCAGTGAAAGAGAGTTCTAAAGTATTCTGTTCTATTGTTGAAGTTCTTCCTCATATCCTGTGAAAACCTCTTTTCTTGCAATTTGAATCCTGGTCTTAGCTTCTAGAAGACAAAATATACAGTATATAACAGAAGTGAGTACACCCCCTCACATTTCATAAATATTTTAGTATATCTTTTCGTGTCACAACACTGAAGAAATGACACTTGGCTACAATGTAAAGCAGCGAGTATACAGCTTGTATAACAGTGTAAATGTGCTGTCCCCTCAAAATAACGCAACACACAGCCATTAATGTCTAAAAAGTGGGTACATTCCTAAGTGACAATGTCCAAATTGGGCACAAAGTGTCAATATTTTGTGTGGCCACCATTATTTTCCAGCACTGCCTTAACACTCTTGGGCATAGAGTTCATCTGAGCTTCACAGGTTGCCGCCACTCCATGACAACATCACAGAGTTGATGGATGTTTGAGACCTTGCGTATCTCCATCTTCCATTTCAGGATGCCCTACAGATGCTCAATAGGGCTTAGGTTTAGAGACATGCTTGGCCAGTCCATCACCTTTACCCTCAGCTTCTTTAGCAAGGCAGTGGTCGTTCTGAAGGTGTGTTTGGGGTCATTATCATGTTGGAATACTGCCCTGCGGCCCAGTCTCCAAAGGGAGGGGATCATGCTCTGCTTCAGTATGTCACAGTACATGTTGGCACTCATGGTTCCCTCAATGAAATGTAGCTCCGCGGTGCCGGCAGCACTCATGCAGCCCCAGACCATGACACTCCCACCACCATGCTTAATTGTAGGCACAACACACTTGTCTTTGTACTCCTCACCTGGTTGCCACCACACACGCTTGACACCATCTGAACCAAATAAATTTATCTTGGTCTCATTGGGCCACAGGACATGGTTCCAGAAATCCATGTCCTTAGTCTGCTTGTCTGCAGCAAACCATATGCGGGCTTTTTTGTGCATTATCTTTAGAAGAGGCTTCCTTCTGGGACAACAGCCCTGGAGACCAATTTGATGCAGTGTGCGGCGTATGGTCTGAGCACTGACAAGCTGACCCCCTACCCCTTCAATCTCTGCAGCAATGCTGGCATCACTCATACATCTATTTCCCAAAGCCAACCTCTGGATATGATGCTAAGCACAGGCACTCAACTTCTTTGGCCGACCATGTTCTGAGTGGAATCTGTCCTGTTAAACCGCTGTATGGTCTTGGCCACCGTGCTGCAGCTCAGTTTCAGAGTTCTGGCAATCTTCTTATAGCCTAGGCCATCTTTATGTAGAGCAACAATTTGTTTTTTCAGATCCTCAGATAGTTCATCACAATGAGGTAGCATGTGGAACTCCCAGCGACCAGTCTAAGAGAGTGAGAGTAATAACACCTGCTCCCCCTTCACACCTGAGACTTGTGACACTAACGGGTCTCATGATACCAAGGAGGGAAAACAGCTACTTAGGCCCAATTTGGACATTGACACTTAGGGGTGTACTCACTTTTGTTGCCAGTGGTTTAGACATTAATGGCTATGTATAGCATTATTTTGAGGGGACAGCACATTTACACTGTTATATTCACTGCTTTACATTATAGTCAAGTGTCATTTCTTCAGTGTTGTCACATGAAAAGATATACTAAAATATTTATGAAATGTGAGGGGGTGTACTCCTGTGATATACTGTAGATAGGAATAGAAACAGTTTGAGTTAAAACACTTTTCAAGTTGTTAGGAAAGGAAGTCACAGTGGGTGCATGGAGTTATCATGACAGGATGTTGCAAGGATTTCCTCCTCCCTTTCATTCACCATGCAGTTCGTGTATAGGTGAGTCTTCAGCACTTCCCTTTTTAACTGTATTTGTTTTAGTACACTTTGTAGCTTTTTGTTATTAATTTTGTGTAATCTTTGTGTCCCTCACAACCATGGCTCTCTGTTTCTACATATACCCATCAAATGTTAGCTCACATATTGCTTCAGAATGGGGTTAGGAGCATGGGGGCTCCAGAAGTTGGTGGGCTGCAACCCTCATCACCTTCATCATTGACTGTGCTGGCTAGTGTTGATAGGCACTATATTTTAACCAGGTTAGATGGCCCATACATGCCCTGTCTCTGCTTTAAAAGTTGGTATGCTTCCTTTACATTAGACAAATTATACCTTTTCTGTTTTTTTTCCAAATTACTAACATTATTTCTCCGTTGTAGTGCCACCCTGGAAAAAGAAACGCTTGCTACTACAAGCTCCCCACAGCCAGTGTTGGAACACCATCCTGCTGCTATGACACTGGAACTTGATCAAGAGGAAGAGGATGTCAAGCCACCTCCATCATTGATTGTAGAGTTACAGTCACAGGAGGGCTCAGAGCAAAGAGAACAACAACATATGGTCCACGTCATGGAGAGGTCTCCGTCAACGTCCTTGTCTTCTGTAGATATAAGGATGCTATCTCCATCTCCAATCCCCAGACGAGATGAATTTTTCAGGCTTGAAAGTGGGGAACGATTTAGACCAGCATGTGGGGGATATGATCCTCAGATGTTACAAATGCTGAAAGAAGAGCATCATATAATTTTGGAAAATCAGAGAAAAATTGGCCTCTACATCCAAGAAAAAAGAGATGGCTTGAAAAGAAGGCAACAACTTGAAGAAGAGCTGTTGAGAGCCAAAATTAAAGTAGAAAAATTAAAGGCAATACGACTACGTCGTGATCTTCCTGAATTCAACAATCTTTGAATAGTTAGCAGTTCTGCTGATTCAAACCAGGGTCCTTTCAGAATTCTTTTTGATCTAGAAAAGAATTTATCTACTATGTTTATTTGGATGGATCAGAACTCAGCCTTGGAATGTGGGATGAGTGCATGTTTTTTTCCCATTTTATTTTTCATGCACATTTGCAAACAATTCAAAGCCATCTTTCACTGGTCTTCCCAGGTTTTCTGACTTAAAGTAGAACCAAATCTAAGACTTTTTAAAAAAATCATTTGAAATTTTGTGATCGTATTACTGCTGGCAAATGCAAATGATAATTTATGCAGCTATTGTAAAATATGCCAATTTTATCCTTTGTTTCATTTTGTTCTTCTGAACTGATTCTTATCTGCCCATTTAAAAGTTTGTTTACTTGTGGGTTAATAAACGGATGCAAAATGACAGGGAGAAAGTATTTTCTTTGTTTCTTTTTCTTTTTTCATAAAACAAGTGGTAACTCCTGTTGTTCAAATGTAGCATTTACCCTGCCAAGGAAGGCATAGAAAATAATTTTGGTGGAGCTTTTTCATGATAAGCTGAACAGAGGGAACATGTGTTCACAATGATTAATAATAAAATATTTCTGAGAACAGTAAAAAATAAAAATGTATATCTCTGATTTTCTGTTAATAACAGTAGCAACAACAATAATAAGAGATTATACTGAACTCTACACCACAGCACATTTAATTAAAATCACAAAAATATACAAAACATGCAAACACAACATTAATTTAAAATATGTATCTATGTGTATGTATATCAACATAAAATTCCTTGGAATCGGCAGCCATCCAAGATGAGTTAAACTAATTACAATACCAACAAACCAATTAGATGGTTCAAGTTAAGATACACTAGTTGGTCTCCTTTCCATACACTTAACACCTGTGGCTCCAAGTTGAAAAGGCAGGTTTTCAAACCTCATCTAAATTTGTTCAACTCTTATTCTGTATGAAGGGGGAGAGAATTCCATAGCTTTGGAACAAAGCTTTCCTTTTAGTCTGTTAAAAAAAAAAGGCTGAAGTCAGCGCTGGGATGCTTCTGTGTATTCTATCATTTTAATGCACAGCTATTTTTGCATAATTACCTTGTGATGTGCCCAGCTAGAAGGAATTGTGATGGTCATTACCATAAAATTGTTTTTAGAAAGTTTAAATACATTCAGTGGAGATATTTGTTATTTGATAAGTGCTATACATGGAACTCAGAGAGGCACATTGTACCCATGAAGAATATCACCATCTTGTTATGACTGACCATAGTTGGTCATCTGGTGTGGACACGTAGTTGTTGACTGTCTGCAAACATGTTGGATACTGATCTGCCAGACGTCTCTTTACATGTTTGTAGGAATGAATGATTCATAGTTTGTCTGCATGTATTCATACACATTTCAGTTCTGAATATAGACCTGCGTACTTATTTAAGAGCAAAAGTGCATTCTCACATATTCTGAAGCAGCTGATATACTGAGCCATACAGCCTCTCATGTCAGAAATCTTATTTCATGAAAGATAGCCGTGTTAGCCTGTTGCAGCAAAAAAGTGATGAAGAATCTTATGGCACATTAAAGACGAATAAGTTTTCTTTGGCATACATGCTTGTTGATTGTAGTCCACTGTATAAAATGCATAATATAAAAGCTTATGGCAAATAAAATTTCTTAGTCTTTGATTTGCCATTCATTGTTTTGAGAGATAATGTATAGCCAGCATGATAACAAGTTATTGTTAAACTCATTCTACATGAATTAGCTTAATCACACACACACCCTTTTAAAGTCATGTTCTGTGGTGGCTACCAATGCATCCGGACATTGCAAATTAATGCATTTTGCTGTGTGAAAAGTACCATTTTCTGTCTTAAATCTCTCTCTCTCTACTCAGTTTCTTCCCTATCCAATGTTTCCTCTCTGTGCATAGTTTTATACAGTACATGTACTGTACAGTATATCATGCCCCTTTTGTACTTGCCTTTTTTCTAAGATAAAGAGCCACACATGTTGCATATTTGTTTAACCTTTCTGTACTTTTTTCTGCAACTTTCCTATCTTTTCGAGTTGCAGCTATGAAGGTCATCTTTCAACTCTTTTTATTTAGAGTTATAGCACAGATATGCAGATGATATCACTCTGATGGCAGAAAGTGAGGAGGAATTAAAGAACCTCTTCATGAGGGTAAAAGAGGAGAGTGCAAAAAATGTTCTGAACTTCAACATCAAAAAAAGTCAGCTCAGGGCCACTGGTCCCCTCAACGCCTTGCAAATAGAAAGAGAAGATACGGAGGTGCTGACAGATTTTACTTTTTTGGGCTCCATGATCACTGCAGATGGTGACAGCAGCCATGAAATTAAAAGACGCCTGCTTCTTGGGAGGAAAGTGATGACAAACCTAGACAGCATCTTAAAAAGCAGAGACATCACCTTGCCGACATAGGTCCACATAGTCAAAGCTATGGTTTTTCCAGTAGTGATGTATGGAGAGCTGGACCATAAAGAAGACTGACCCCTGAAGGATTGATGCTTGTGAATTGTGGTCCTGGAGGAGACTCTTGAGTGTCCGCTGGACTGCAAAGAGATCAAACGTATCTATTTTGAAGGAAATCAACCTTGAATGCTCACTGGATGCACAGATCCTGAAGCTGAGGCTCCAATAATTTGGCCATCTCATGAGAAGAGAAGACTCCTTGGAAAAGACCTTGATGTTGGGAAAGTGTGAGGGCAAGAGGAGAAGGGGATGACAGAGGATGAGATGGTTGGACAGTGTCATCGAAGGTACCAACATGAATTTGACCAAACTCTGGGAGGCAGTGGAAGACAGGAGAGCTTGGCGTGCTCTGGTCCATGGGGTCACGAAGAATCGGACATGACTTAAAGGCTAAACAACAACAACAGTAGTAAAGGTGGGATGATATTGATAAATTACTGGGCTAGGATCAATGAGATCAGGTTCAGATTCTGTATATGGGTAGCCTATGGCCAATCCACTCTCTCTTAGCTCCCTGCTTGTTTTAACTTTACCAATGTATTGAATGGATGTGAGAAGAGCTGTAGATTTCCCTCTCACTTTTGTAGAAAAAGAGTGTTGCAAGCAGTGTAAAAGAGGTGTTCATACTAAATAGAGTGGTGTTGCAATGCCACTAAGCTGTTGAAAGTTGCTATCTTTTAGATATGAAATGCTGAACGATCTGTTTGTAAAGCTGCTAGCTTGTACTTGTCTTGTACTTCCGGCTGGACTGGTTTTCTGCTCCTAGTCTGTTGAATTTGACTTCTGTTCACAGAGGCCCTCTTCCTAGGTAATACTTCTGTTATGTCTGATATGTGCAAAGGCCCTTGTCATGTAAAATAAGAGCCAAGGAAAGATTACTTCCAGGTAATCCTGTTTGGTTTAGTCCTTTCATCCTTTATCCCTCTTACCTTCACTTAGGGAGTATTGCTTCAATTATTTCCCACCACCCCCACCTGCATTCCTGTTTTCTTTTTTGAAATCTTTCCTTGAAAGAAATTGGCTTTTGTAAAGCTTTTAAACAGTTTAGGAGAATTTAGTTTTTCCTGTTTTGTGACAGGCCAATGATTTAAATATTTCAAAACACGCACGATGGCATTCATCAACAGCATAAATGAGGCTTGTAAGAAAACATGTAGCTTGATTCTCCTAGAAATTCCAAACCAAAACCCTTCAAAGCTCAAATGTTCATTTTAAAAAAATATTTGTGCTTCGCTTCTCCTACATTAATGTCCAGCTACAGAAATGTATACCATCTGTGTAGCATTTTAAAATCTGACTTTACATAAACGTCAGTTGAAGCAAAAATAATAATAAAAAGCAAACAGCTCTTCTCAGATAAAACTATAGAAAAAAGTAGCAGAATTAACACTACCTATCAATTCTCAACATTATCCAGCCAAAGGTTTTCTAAGGAAGTTAAAGCCACTTCTGAAAGCTAGATGCTTTGCCTAAATTGCTCTGGAAGGCTGTTTCATAGCCTTGTTACCTCTGTTCAAAATGCCCTGTTCCTTTCTCAGTCCACTGTGACCTCACACAACAGTGCCCTAAATAGTTCTCGATAGAAAGGGAAATATATGGGAAATGATAGAGCCTATATAGGCTCTATAGTTATGGTATATGGTTTCCTGATAGCACTGTGTGGCATGGAAAAAAAATCCTTGTCTGCTTGTGTTTCTACTTAAAATGATCCATCCTTCCTCTTTGAAAGCTGGCCCATATTTTTCTGGTACAGGACTAGGGGGTGCAATCTTTTGGGGACAGTTCATTGAGATGCAAACTAGCTTTTTGTTCTGCCTTCATGGATGGATGTCAAGAGTTAAAATAGATTGCACTGAAAATAAGCACCAGTCAGATTGCACCAAATTCCATACTATGGGCAGAACCCATAGTCTCAGACAGATTTCAGAGAAATGACCTGCCTGGACTATCAAATTTAGAATGCCCCAGCCAACATATTCAGAGGCCATATTGGTTAGAGGATTCTGGGACTTGTAAATTTAAAAAAAAAACATACATTTTCAAGTTCTTCTGTTTGAGATATATAGGCATCAGACCATCTGTAGCTTTATTTAGGCTTTGTTCTTTCCCCTTAGTTCTACCTTACTCACAAAATTATTTCAGATTGGAATGAATTTATTAAAAGGCCTAATGTAGTGAAGAGTGCGAAAAATTTCTTCTTCGACCACATTTTATTTAATTGGGATTCAAGAAAACTAAAATATTTTTAAAATATCACTGTTTTCATGCTAAATGATTGTGAATATAACATTTTTTAATTTTAAAATAAAGGTGTCTATGAGAACTGACTAATAAGTTCTAAGATGAAGGGTGAACTAAATACTGTGTTTCCCTGAAAATAAGACAAGGTCTTATATTAATTTTTGCTCCAAAAAACACCTTAGGGGTTATTTTCAGGAGATGCTTTTTTCATGTACAACAATCTACATTTATTCAGATACAGTCATGTCATCTTCTTCTGGTTGCTGCACAATGGTGGAGGGTGGGGTTTCACTTAACTGGGGCTTATTTTTGGGGTAGCGCTTATATTACGAGCATCCTGAAAAACCATACTAGGGCTTATTTTCAGGTTAGGTCTTATTTTTGGGGAAACAAGGTATTGAGTTCAGTACTGTTGTTATATTATGCCCATTGAGTTCAGTACTGTTGTTATATTATGTCCCATGAAGTTGGAACCAATTTAGAGCAACCCCAATAGACCTTTCCAAGGTAAGTGAGAGATTTAAGGAGTGGTTTTTATCACTTCCACACTGCCACTTCCACACTGCCACTGCTCAGGGATTCAAACCCAGGCCTCCTAATCCTGTCACGATCCATTACATTACTGGGTATCAGTACTCTACATCCTGCTAGTTTGAGGCACAATGGGATCACTTTAACCTTTAATCCTAGTGAACCTGCAGTCCCAGTTCATTTTAATAACAGCAAGCAAAAGGAGGGTAGCAAGAGACCCTTACTGTAGAAAGGAAATCATGTTCCTAATTCATTTTACAAGTGGAGACAGTGACAAGACCTGTTTTCATCAACTTTTAGTTCAGTATAAATTAGCCTGGAGGCCCCTAAATATATAATTGTAAGATTATCGATACATCTGTTGTATTTGTGCTGATGTTGTTGTGAAGACCATCTTTCTAGTCTTTCGTTGTAACACATGAGCTAACATTGGCTTTTGGGACTGTTTAGCAATGCTTTTCTGGTAAGCCACCAAGGCTTTGGAATAGAAACCCAAGCCTTTCAGATGGTGGCCATCATATTGCTACCTGGATCTGATCTCAGTTTGACTGCCTTGAGTTTTATACTCTTCTCTACAATTTTCTAAAGAGCTTCATTTTCTCTGGATTTTCTGAGGAGCTCCTTTGTCTTTTATGTTGACTAGCTTTGGTTTTTAACTAGTATTGCTGTTTCTTTCAAACTCTGCAGTACTGGATTGAGCAGAGACTACAATGAGATGGAATTGTTCTTAGCCTTTCACTCTTAACCTTTTAATGAAGAACCTGAGACTCACCATGACAGAAACAAAAAACCTGGAGGCATTCTGTTATTGCATTACAGTATGTTCATGGACAGGGGAGCTGGGGGATTAAGAAACACACTTCATGTCCTTAGTTATTACTGGTGTGCTGGATGTCACGGATAGATAATTTATGGCCAATAGGAGATGGCCTATAACACTTGCAGGACAACCTGGTCTGGGGAGGAAATGTGAATTCTTAATAATTATTATGAAAACCTTGGTTGCTGCATATGGCCAGAGAGGACCATAATCAAAACCTAGAAAGGATGTTGGGCAAGCAGAATCAGAGCTGGCCACTTGGCTGGAAGGCATTGACAGTATTAAAGTCTAGTATTTTTATTTTAATTCCAGACAATTTTGTATATCTGCACTAGTCAGATCTACCAAGAGTTATCAACAACGTCCTGGTATAGAAGACATATACTTACAATTGCACAGTAACCTGAGCCCCAAGATTTGTTTTCATACCAAGACTGAATCTAGTTTCATTCAGCCCAAGTTATTTTCATTTTTGTAGTGCAGTTTTAAGAGGGGAGGAATGATTGTTGCATTGCTGCTGCTGCTGCTGCTGAATAGTTGGGAGTCAGGAGTCCTTACAGATATAGAGCAAAGCAATCAAAGACTCATATTTACTGTCTGCTTGTCTTTGTTGTGTAAGGATTTCAGCTGATCAGAAGATTGGCCTGAAGTCATAGATCCTGCAACAGTACAGGCAGAGACTTTCATCTCTTAATATATTGTGCTGCTTGAACCATCTCTTTCAGTGACAGCACACATAGGGAAAAGGAAAATCTACATATAATCTAATATCCCACAGACTTCCCCTTTGGATTATTCAGCTATTTTGTTGTTAAGACAAAATACCTACTTAACCCAAGTAGCATGGCATAGCTGAGATATTTTCTAGCTACTGCAGTGCAAAGTGATGAATTGGGCTTCATATGTAAAAAATCAAGTAACATTTTAATGTGTATGTAATTGGAATTTCGATTACATGGTTCTTAAAAACTGGCTTTTAACTTGCTGCACAATCCCTTTTAGTTTTAGTCTCTCTTTTTATTTTCCTACTTGAGTTATTGAATGAATTGCACTTATGTAAATTGGACTTATGTAATGTGGTTTGGAAGGATTACGTCTCTCTATTCCAAGAATGTCTTTGGCTTGTCTATAAGTAATCACTTCTGCACAGCATATGAAAATGCTAAAAAATATGAATAATCTTTATGATTTCTTCCGAACATTTTAAACAGGTAAACATGCTAAAATTATGTAAATAAGGAATACTGGAATAAACTGTATTTCAGATCTTCTGAAGAAAATATGATTGTGTTTTACTGAAGCTTGCTGTTCAGGGGGGGAAAAAAGGAAAATTAAAGGGTGAAAAAATCCTGCTTGTCTTGAATTAACATTATGCAAGACAGTCAGTGAATGCTCCCGTCTATCAGAAATGAAACCAAGCAAGCCAAGAGGTTGATTTAAAGTAGACTGGTCATAGTGTGCTAAGATTGTGTTAATTAATTAAAGTGTTCATTGTGTTAATTCTCGTACTACAGCTTACTTGGGAATCTGCTATTATAAGATGCATCAGACAAAGGCAAGGTTTCAATAGTTTTGGGACGGTTGAAAAAGGTCACATCAAGCAAGTAGATAAATACTACAACTATAATTTATTATTTATTATAAACTATAAGCATAACTCTCCTTCCAAGGCAGGGCACCATTAATATTTGTGTGGATTTGGCTGTGGGCAAGTTCTCAACTCAACCTTTAAGACAAATCAAGAGAAAAGAAAGAAAAATCCCTTTCATTGCTCCCTCCTGTCTCCTTCCAATTCAAGAAGGAAATATTTTATTTTTTATAAGTAATGGAGTGCACCAGTGCTGCACTAATACAGTCTTAAAAAATCATGTCCTCTGCCTCTCCACGGAGTAGAGGAAATTTTTCATTTGCCAATATCTTGAATTGGCTGTATTCTTTAGCCACTTCATGATATGGAAAATTTCTAGTGGAATAAACTGGACCAAATAGGGTTGCTTGAGGTCCAATATGCTATTTGGATGCAAGAATTGCATTAAATGGCATATCGGGCATCTACGCGATCCCAAGTGACCCTATGTTGCCCAAACCAGCCTTGCTTCAAAAGAACCCATGTTCCTTTTTTGGGACTGTAACTCACCAAAATCTCATAGCCAGCACAGCTAAGGAATTAAAGTCCCAAAAAGGGAGCTTTTCTAGGCTGAGTGGGAAGAGGACATGCTAGCTCCATTAACATTAGTTTTTCTGGTGAGTACAGCTATCATTTCTTTTGTAACCTTGGGCTCACCATGCAGTTGGTGTCTCTCCTTTCCTCTTTCAAGTCTGTATTCATCCTTACAGCTCCAGCAAATGGGATGAGAGCAGAAACACCAGGCCATCACAAGGAGCCAAGCTGTCATCCCCAGTACTTCAGTGTGGTGTGGTGCAAGGCCTCAAAGAAAAAACACAAGAAGTGGGAAGGTGATGCTGTTCTTATTGTCAAAGGGAAATCGGTCACATTGAAAGATACGGAAGGCAAAGACATTGGACGAGGTAATGCCAATTAGAATGTAAATGTGGTAGATACAATATAGGCCTTGATCTAGAATGACTATTTGAATACAGTAAAAGTACAACTTGTGGCTGCATGTTTGTAAAATGAGCACAACGATAATTTGCAATAAACGTTCCAGGAGAGGTAGCCAGGTTAATCCAGTTGCAGCAAGTAGGAGTTTTGTGGCACCTTAAAGATTAACAAACGTATTGATATACTTCAGTTGTTCCCATTAACTTCTTCATCAAGTTCCCAGGCAGTGTCTTTTGAGCTGTATAGAACCAAGTAGAAATTATCTCACTGAAATATGTTGAGTATGATAAATTCTCAGAAATGTTCCTGCTGAAATTACTGGCTAAGTTTTGCAAATGTGTGTTAAAGTAATTGTTTCTTATCTACTCGAGGAACACTAGATGACCGGTTTCTTTGAAACCTGGACTGGGAGAACTTCCTACATCCATCCTATGTATCCCACAGCAGCTTTCATTGGTTTTGGTGCTGTCCATTTATGTTGGACTACAATATACAGCATTCTCAGCCAACATGGCCGTGATAGTTAGGAATAAAGAATGTTGTAAAACAGATCTGGAGTGGTGCACATTGGGAAAGGCTGGACTGCATAAGAGATCCTTGCCTGCAGTATATCTTCCTGACCAAGCTCAACTCAATACGGGTTATTCATTCTGAGTTGATATTAAATATCTCTGGAGTGCAGGGTTGATATTTTGTGATTATTTTATCAACTCTTGTCTCCTATATACTGAGGAGTTAAGAGGTAAGAGTCTTTGGGCCTTTGAAGATTTGTGGCAACTCTTAGACTTTAAAAGTATGGAAAAATACAGATTTATGTAAACATTATAGGAGCACAGGTGGCTTTTTCAAACCATGAATCCCTTAAGCCCAGTATTATCAACACTGGTTCCTCAAGGTTTCAGGAAGCCCTGCCTGGAGATGGGCTGGATTTGGAACCTTGTGCACGTCAAACATGTAGTTTTCCACTGAGCTGCACCCTCTTGACTAAGTACAGCCATCATAAGAATATAAGACGAGCCCCGCTGGATCAGGCCAAGGGCCCATCGAGTCTAGGTTCCTGTATCTCACAGTGGCCCCACCAGATGCCTCTGGGAGCACACGAGACAACTATATATGTACCTGTCTCCTGATTCCCCTCCCCTGCATCAGGCATTTGAAGTACCTTCCTTTTTAAACCTGGAGATTATATATCCACATTGTCACGTTCCTGGGGGTTACAACAGCCAAAGTCCGATAAACCAGTCCAGGGTCAAGGATACTAAGAATGCAAAGCCAATGTCCATAAATCAACTCACAGAATGAAGTCCAGTGTCAAAGTCCAGAGTCCGATACACAACATAGTCCAGGGGCAGAGTCCAGAGTTTAGAGTCAGGAACACGGTTCAAGAAGCGTGGATGCAAGCCAGGGTTTTGACTCTTTGTTTCCACAGAATTTCTGGCTTTACTGGGAGCTGTTTTATAGTAAAACAGCTCCTTGAGCTGCTGGAAAGCTTTCTATCTTGTTAATACTCAGGACTAGTTGATCGTAGGTTTCTGTGGACAGCCTTCGAGCGATCCTCTGATCTCCTTGTCCTGAGTCTTGCCCGAAGCTTGTCTGCTGTGGAAGAATCTGGAGGCGGTTCAGGTGTTTCTGATCTCTCAGCATTCTCTTCAGCCTCAGTTAACCCTTCCGGTTCCAGGTCTTCGGATGCACTCATGACACCCATCATGGCTTGTAACCTGCGATGGACTTTTCCTCCATCAGTTTGTATTTAGAGAGAATGTGGCCCCCTGTTTTTTGACTGCCAATGTTTTAGTTGACGAACTTGTTGCTGGTTTTTATATTTATTTTATTTTCATTTAGGCCTAATGTTTATGATATCTCTTAGGCGCTGGATACAAAGCCAAAGATTTGGAAGGTCTTGATGAAGGTCAAACTCTGATGATTGGAAGCAAAGAAATAGAAGTAATGGGTGTAATTCCAGAAGAGGACTTCATAAGCGGCAGGTGTTTTCAATCTGGTGTAGCAGCTGCAGAAAACATTATCTCAGAAGCAGCTGTGAAGCCATTCAGTAATCCTGTGAAAAATGTCTGCAAAACCAGTTCAAAAGGAAATTTGCCTCACAACTCCCAGAACTGTAAACCACGACATGATCCATATGCATCAAGTAAGGATTTTAAAAATTCACTTGTTCTCATCTGTCTTTACCTTTATAGTACCCTGTCCTTCAGTGCTATGTATTCTCAGTTGTATTGTGTGTCAAGGAATCATGGACTTTTAAGGCAGACTTCTGGGTTGAGAAGGTGAGCAGCAAAGAAGTAATAACAGAAATGAATGAAGACCAAGAAATTAAAAGAACACATAAATGTAAAAAGGTAGAATAATTTAGTCACATAGTGAGAAAAAAAGAGTACAGATTATTGTAGCCAATCATTCAAGATAAAATAAATAGGAAAAGTAGTACAGGAAAGAGAAGAACTTGCAAGCTAAAAAATGGGCCATGGCACCGGGCAATCTCATAGTTTAGAGCCACTGCCTCCAAAATCAGCATAGCCATGATGACTTCTCCACCAGGAAGTGGAGGAGAAGTAGTTGAACTAGTTGCAGAGATCTGTATCTTCTTTGGTCGTCTCCCTGACCTCCTCAGTATATATGAGGCTAATCACAATGGAACAGAACAAGGCATCATGTCTGTGAGAAGTGTGCAGGAGTTGAGAAAGCATACTGCTCATATTATATAATAACCTGAGTAAGAAATAAACTAAATAGTTTGTAACTAAGTAGTGCCTTTGTCTGATTCACTGGAGATGTTGCTGTCCAGTCTGCAGCATTCATTAGCTAATGTGCCTGTACTGAGGCCAGTTGCTTCTCCAAGAAAAACCCGCTCATGGTGAACTATTTTTATTTTAGGAGAGAATTGATACTGGCTTAAAGGGCAGGTCTAAGATCCCTTTTAAATCTTTGTTTGAATTTAGCAAACTGAGAAATGGTGGGTTTTTTAAACTTGGTAAATAATAATTTTGCATTTATGATGCCCTGTGTTTGAAATTTAAGATAGCCTAGTTCTGCCACGGCCAACCCTGAATCATCAACAGATGTTCAACAAGGCAGGCTTGCCTGTTGTCGATGTTGTCGTGGATCCTTATCTTGTAAACCATCTTCGTCCACACCAGCGAGAAGGAATTGTATTTCTTTATGAATGTGTGATGGGAATGAGGTAAGAGGATCATTGCTGAAGAGTGTTTGGAGTGGTGGGTATTTCCAGTGGTTGCTGAGAAGTGGTCTACATATTAAGATTGCTGCGAGCATGACATAGAAAAATGGGGCAAGTTATTTGCCCAGAAAATTCCATCAATAACATTTAGCGGCACTTATCCAAAACATTCATGTCACATGATGCACATCTCTGTTCCAGCTGCAGCAAGCTAGCTGTTCACAATGGGATGATGCCACAAAGTGGTAAGAGCTTGTAAATCTCTGATGGAGAATCTGTGGTGATCCAGATGTTCTTGGACTACAGCACCCTGTCATCACAAATGACAAGCCAGTGAAAACAAAGCAAAGATTTTGATTAACGTTTCTTTGCTTTCTTTCTCACTTATTTAATTTCCTGCAATTTAGGACCCACAGTAACTCACAATAAGATTTTTTAGAAATGCACACATATTCAAAAATCACAAAGAATTATAATGTTAAAACACTATTAAATAAATTGTACAGTATAATATAAATCACAGTTTTGAAACCCTTCTGAAAACCAGTGAAAAGGAGTAAAACACATACACCCTATTAAACAACTCTTTTTCATCAGCCAGTCATTTGCCTGCCTAAATAGAACTGTCTTCACCAGCTAGTGGAAGGACAGCAGGAAGGGGGGCATTTTGCCTTCTTGCAGAAGAGAAGTCAATAAACTTGGGAGGAAGCCATCTCTCATGCCCTCACCAGATATGCCTGGGAGGGTGGTAAAACTACAAAAAAGGCATCTCCTGATGACCTTAAGACTCGAGACAGGCTTGGGAGATGCAATCGTTCATAGAGTCTCAACTCAAGCCATCTAGCAGCTTGGAAGCCATAGCCAGCACTTTGAATTGTGCTCAGAAACTGGCTGGTAGCCAATTACAGTGGTACCTCAGTTTACGAACACCTAGGTTAATGTAATTTTCGGTTTACGAACAAAAATCCATTGAAAATAATGCCTCGGTTAACCTTTCTTTTAAGATGCAAAACAATGCAATTCTTTCCCTTAGAATGAATTGTCGATTTGGAGCTATTCTTGCAGATGAGATGGGTTTGGGAAAAACCCTGCAGTGCATTTCACTCATTTGGACTCTTCTGCGTCAAGGGCCGTATGGATGCAAGCCTATAATAAAACAGGCACTGATCGTTACTCCTGGGAGTCTCGTGAAGAATTGGGGGAAAGAGTTTCAGAAATGGTTGGGAACTGAAAGAGTCAAGGTGTTCTTAGTTGATCAGGTGAGAAATCCTCCCTTCCCATCCATTTCAATTTTAAATGTTTCCTTGTTAATGTGAATGGACTCCTGTTTTTACTATTGCACTAGCATTTGAAATCCTCACTTGTTTAATGCTTGCAGATGAGGATGAGGAACTGCAGAATTATTCTTTTTGCCGTTCATTCCCTTTCTAAAACCATTTAAGCTAGTGGCCATCATCATACCTTGTGGCAGTGGGTTTGAGAAATCACACATTGCACAAAGAAATTAAAGTGCATGCAGGCATGCATATTAATTTGCTTATAGTGCCATCTTGTCTTACCCGAAAACATTACATTTGTCTGTACAATATGCAGGATCACAGAGTAGAAGAATTCATCAATTCACCTCTTTATTCAGTCCTGATCGTGAGTTACGAGATGCTGCTCCGTTCCTTGGACCAAATTCAGAATATAGAGTTCAGCCTCATAATCTGTGATGAGGGGCATCGTCTGAAAAACAGTTCCATTAAGACAACCATGGCCCTTGCGAACCTAGCTTGCAAGAGGAGAATTATTCTTACAGGTAAGTATGGGAAAATTCAATTGGCCAGCAAAGAGATTAAAATAAAGGTTTGTTACATCTGAGAAATGTGGCCCAAACCAAAAGGCCCTCAAGATTCTACATAAATGGCTTTGTGTGTGTCCAGATAAGATGCTGAGATCTGAACCTCTTCAAAATATGTCCATGATAAAAAAAGAAAAAAATCTGTTCATCTTTTAGATTATGAAGCAAGTACATTCCTATGTTCATTGATTTGATTTTATATCGTTCCTCTCTCTTAATAAAGGCAGTAAAAGTTTCACTGTGAGGAATAAAATCTAATCTACATCAGGAAAGGGGTCCTTTTTGATGTGCAAATACATATCTGAATTCTCTTATCTTTCCCAAGGTACTCCAGTACAGAATGATCTGCAAGAATTTTATGCATTAATAGAGTATGTAAATCCCGGCATACTTGGTCCTTTGTGTGCATACAAAAAAGTGTATGAGGAGCCTATTATCAGATCCAGAGAGCCTTCAGCAGCAAAGGTCTGTTATAACTAAAATCTGAAAATGGGAGTTGTGCCTGGGCGGAGGGGGGAATAGAATTAAAAGGTATCTGGTGGCTGTTAATGAAGCAATTAAGAAACAAATCTTTAGAACAAAGTTATGCAGCTAAATAATACTTTTCTCCTGCACGGCTATATATGTTCATGCATTTGAGTGCCATGGGAAGCTTGAAATTACAGTCTACTGTGTGTGTCTTATAAGATCATATTGGGTTTTACAGATCAAACCTTCTTATCCATCCAAAGATGCTGTTATACAGGATCCCTTTCTTCCAAAAATAAAACAGGCATCATAATCCAATTGGCCTATGAGAGTGAAATTTATTACCAGACCTTCCTTATGTTTTAGGAGCGGATCCAAAGATGCATTTGTAAATTCAAGGGAGGGAGAGAATAAATATAGGGAGAAGGAAGATGAGAGAAACCTGTGAAAGGCAGACAGACAGGAACCTATAGAGCATTGCAATAAGAGCATAACAACTTGCGCGAATCAGTTTGAACATCCTTTCTATTCTCTTAGGAGGAAATACAACTAGGAGAGAAGAGGGCAGCAGAACTGACCCGCCTGACTGGACTCTTCATTCTCAGAAGGACCCAAGACATCATAAATAAGTTTCTCCCTCCTAAAAAGGAAAGCATCCTTTTCTGCCGTCCAGCAGCATTGCAGCTGAACCTCTACCGAACTTTGTTAACCTCTCAGGTTGTTCGATCATGCCTACAAGGCAGTCTGGAAAATAGCTCACACTTAATATGCATTGGTGCTTTAAAAAAACTTTGCAATCATCCTTGCCTTCTCTTCAAGGCAATAAAGGTTTGTATATTGCATTATGCTTAAATACATAGACTGAGACAAGTAAAGGAAACCTCAAATTGGACAATTTGGGGTCCTTTTTAGGGACAAAGGCAGGAAAAATATTATAATAA